TTGCCCGATTTAAGGGCTGACGCCGGCCGCCGACCCCAAGGAAGAGGGGCATAGCACACTCCATGAAGGGGGAACCTTGGTGAGGAAGTGCTGTGCGCCAGTGATTTCTTGTGGTAGGACGAAAATGTGAGAGAATCAGCAGAAGTATGGTCACATCTTGAGTGTTTGAGAACGCCAGGCTGTCGCTGAAGCAAAACGTCGGCTTGCATCGGACTGGCCAAAAGTGTAACACATCATGAGACAAAGATTCATTGTTCTTAGGGCAGGGACCTTGCTTGAGGTGAAGGTTTAAGACCAAGCACAGTGTTGCAAGTTGGAACTCTGGATTACATGTCTGCGTCATCCGCACGGTCGGAGAAGTGGTAAGTTTTTCGGCCACAGGCATGGAAGTGCAAAAACATTGGTGGCAATCAGACACGTGCATAAAGGTAGAGAGGCAGGTTTCTCATGAGCAATGGGACATTCTGAGCGATGGCTTCAAAAAAAACGGGCACGGGCGGCGGCTCACAATGCAGCTGTGGCCAGCTGGGCTAGCTCCCAGCACGTTCTCGGCATGCATCAGTTTGCTATTCTTTTCGTGGAGGGTTTTTCAGGGTCCATGCTGCTGTTATCGGCGGCGCTGCTGTTATCGGCGGCGCTGCTGTTTCCGGCGGCTTTGTAGGATCAGGGTTTGGCTGGCGTGATGCCTCTGCTGCTGTTTTCGGCGGCGTAGATGTTCTGATCGTATTTATTCATCAAGGGCCGGTTTGTATGCTGCTGCTTTCGGCGGCGCTGCTGTTTTCGGCGGCTAGCGGGTGTTCTTTAGTTATCTGGTGTCTTTTGATCGTTCTCTGGCCGTTCGTTATCATTATTAATTATCATTATTAATTGTTATTATTATCAATTATTTATAAATTATCATTAATCATTAATTATTATTGTTATTAATTATTATTATTAATCATTATTATTATTAATTATTACTATTATTAATTATTACTATTAATTATTTTTATTTACTATTATTATTAATTATCATTATTAATTATTATTATTAATCATTATTATTATTAATCATCATTATCATTAGTTATTAGTATTATTAATTACCATTTCATTATTATTATTATTATGAATTATTATTATGAATTATTATTATGAATTATTATTATTAGTTATTATTATTAATTATTATTATTCATTATTGTTATTAATTATTATTACTAATTATTATTATTAATTGTTATTACTATTAATTATCATTATTAATTATTGTTATAGATTATTGCTAATTATTATTATGAATAATAACCATTATTGATTATTATTATTATTGTTCAGTATTATTATTATTGTTAATGATTATTAATAATATTGTTGTTTATATTAGTAATAGTATATTTCTTGCTATTATTCAGGAAGCGCACCAGCCAGGTTGTCCGATGATGTCATAATCCCTTGGGGCTATAGTGTCTCCCACCCTGCCCCCTAAACCCTAGACCCTGATCACTCGGCATGCCACGGCCGCTTCCATCGAACATGTTCGGGTCTGCCACTCTGCTCTAGCTTTCGGCCTAGTCCCTGTCCCCAAGTTGTGGGAACCAGCAAGCGTCAGTCATTGCCCTCCAGACCCTCCGGATCAAGTGTGCGATCCAGACCCTCCGGATGAGACAGCATGGGAACGCGCACTCCGGGCACGTGGTTTTGATCAGCATATATCTGCAAACATATGGCATATGTTTGTGTATATGAAGAGCCTCAAGTCCAGCAAGCCAGGCTCCAGAAGTCAGACTGAAATTCTCCTAAAATTCCTAAGGTTAGCATGTATCAGGTTTGTACAGGGGTCAGGGTTTTGGATCACACCGCGCTGAGGCGGCTGAACTGCTGCCGTGACAACCTCAGCTCCAAGAAAGACTTCGCACGGCTCCACTTCGCCGATAGTTGTTGCCAGGCCCGGCGATGCAGTCTCGCTTCAGGAATGGGTCGAGTGGCCACCTGCTGAGACCAGATCGTACCAAGTGTGAATCGGTTAGCGGAAGTCATGAGTGAGTCTAAGCGTGTTGTCAATGAAACAGCTCAGATTCGAGTTTAGCACATATCCTTGTGGCTTTAACATGTCAAGTCTGACTGAGTCGGATGCCTGGGGAAGTTGAGCTGCGGACAGACGATGCTGGGCTTGCGCGGGACTTGGTGTCGAGTGATGATAGTGATGCAAAAGGC